TGCCGTGTGTGTGTAGATTCAAAAAATTATTTATTTAGTAATTGACATTTCTGTACACTAATCTAATTAAATTAACCCTTAATTTTTTTTTAAAAAAGAGAATCTTCTATATACAGACCTTAATATCCAAAAAAAGTATTTATAGATATTAATTCTATATAAATTAATAATTTACCTTTTCTGTAATAAAAAAAATGTTTTATATCCAAGATATAATAATCTGATAAAGGGAGTATACATTAAAGTTTTCAAACAGCCATTGAACAAAAAAAAACATGTTCAATAAACGATATTGAACATGATTAAAGTTCCATTGCACATTAACAATATTTTTATGCAGAATATCCAGATTAGAGAAAAAAACTCCAATGGTGGTGTGGTATAAGAAAGGTATTAAATGTGCGTGTCTATATATATATATATATATATATATATATATATATATATATATATATATGTATATATCTATATGTATATATATATATACGTATATAAATATATATGTATATATACGTGGATTTATATTTATATATATCTATATATACATTATATATACAAATATGTATATATTTATTCAATTTTATTATTAATATTAATTGTAGTTTATTACATCAGGAACACTATCTTACCTTTATCGGATTCGTTTTCTGAATCAAGCATGGGTGAGATTCTTTCTGTTTTGATAAGCTTCCTCATTCCACTTGACAGAGTGATCACAGGTATCTGTTTGGAACAACTAATTTTTATTATGACTAACAACACTGTAATCAAATTGGTAATTATCATAATCAATTTTTTTATGTTTACAAAAACATAACAGCGTTTTTTCTAATACTTTGTTTAATGTTTCAAAATAGTAAATTTATAGTTTAATTCTTTTAGCCGAAATGCCATAAAAAATAAATTTCCAAGAATTATTACTTTGACTCCAATGCAATTTCATGTTTTTGAAAGCTAAGTGTTGGTTCGAAATTTGCACCAATAAATCAAATTTCTTGTATTGTATTTCTAAGCTAATATAAATAATATTTATAAAATAAGAAGAGGGTGAATTACTAACCTTAGAAAGGAAGGATTAATGGTAGTTATGAATGCTCAAGATCACCTTGAATGTAGTTGGTAAGGAGGTTGAGAATTAAATGAAGAAAGGAGGGTTAGAGAAGTGTAGTTGTACACATTTATAGAGTATTAAATGCAGGGAAATTAACAATATACGGAGTATTAGAATAGGTGTGTGGCTCAATGTTTGGCTCATTTATTACTGCATAGAACTTTTTTTAATATATATATATATATATATATATATATATATATATATATATATATATATATATATATATATATATATATATGGGTAACCGTTTGGGCCATTAACTAATGATACATTGGGCCACACACCTAGATTTAGTGATGATTTATGTATATTGTAGGATTGTAATAAATATCACGTTTTTTTTTTGTTAGATTTACTAAATCTTGACTCTTAGAGCCCCACCATTTAAATGCTACATTAAATGCTACACTGTTAATATTTTCCAAAATATTAGGTTTTAGTATAATTAAATGATATTTTAAAAAAAAACGTTGTGTCATAGGCGTTTGGCTCAATGTGTAGCTCATTTATTATTGCATAGAACTTTTTTGGATACATTTTTATTTATTAGATTTTATGACTTATTATTTTATTTATTCTATGTTCATTGGAAATACATCTTGCTCGTTATTATTTTTTATTACATTTTCCACTACAATTTTAGAACAATTAAAATATATTTCAATTATTATGCCACTGAATATTTTCCAAATTATTTTGATCAAGTATAATAAAAGATGTTTTAGTCAAATAACTTAAAAATAAGTTAAATATATTTCTTTTATATTTTGTATTAAAAATATATTCATAATTTAAAATATGTATATATACGTTATAAATAAAACGTATGTATACACTATAAATAATTATTCTCAATGTATTGTTTTTTTCATATACTAAAAAAATGTACACGAATTTTTTTTTATTTATCATATATATATATATATATATATATATATATATATATATATATATATATATATATATATATATATATATATATATATATATATATATATATATATATATATATATATATACGGAGTATATGGGTAACCGTTTGGACCATTAATGCTATATTGGGCCACACACCTAGATTTAGTGATCATTTAACCTCATTGAATACTTCACGTTTTTTTTGTTAGATTTGCGAAATCTTCCTCATTAATGGACACCAAGCATGCTTTCAATATTCACCACATTAAATCAAACACTGTTCACGAAGTAATCACAGCCGACATCTTAGAGCCACTCGCCATTTACTATTTTACGTACTTACGTAGTATATAGCAATTTCACGCTCTTATATGATAGATTTAATTTAATATGATTAAAATACGTATATATACGTTATAAGAAAATACATGCGCATACACTATAAATAATTTTTCTCGGTGTATTGTTTTTTCATAAACCACTATACAAATATTATACGATTTTTTTTATTTACAAAAAATACATGCGCATACACTATATATATATATATATATATATATATATATATATATATATATATATATATATATATATATGGTACATTGGTAACCGTACGGGCCATTTATGCTACATTGGGCCACAAACCTAGATTTAGATCATTTATGTTTTTTTGCATGCTTCACGTATTTTTTTTGATAGATTTGCCAAATCTTGCTCTTAATGGAAAGCAAGCATGATTGCAATATTCAATGTACCCTCACATTAAATTCTTCACTGTTCACTAAGTAATCCATACTTAGAGCCCAACGCCATTTATTAGTTTATATAGCAAATTCACGCTCTTTCATGATAGATTCACTTTAACATGATTATTATTGATAAACACACCAAGCACTATCACATTAAATGTCATCACTTCTCTTAGGAATTATGAACCAAAGACATTCTTGGCTTTTTTTTTAAACGTGTGCTACGTAAATCTATAATGTTTTTAAACTTAAATTTATTTGTTTTTAAATTTAAAAAATTACGTATATATATGTTATAAAAACAAATAAATTATTATTTTTTTTCAATACTTATCATCTTAGAGCCCCACACCATTTAGGTCATTTAGTAAACTTAATTCTTGTTTTTTAAAAAAACTTTGTGTCATTATCATAAGTTAGTTTTTTTTATATTTCGCATTACATATATATATATATATATATATATATATATATTTATATATTCTTACTTTACTTTCTAAGTACTCTTCAAAATTATGTTATAAATTTTTACTATACATATACTATATTTACTGCAAATAAATCTATTAGGAAACATACTATATAGTAATTCGAAATTTGCATACTCATTTAAGCTTTTAGGAAGGAAATTTATTCAAATTTCAAATGACACCTTCCCACGCGCATGTTTTAAATTCAAACTGTCTTGTAAAGAGTAACAAAATTCTTGATATATTAGAGTAGAAAAGGACGACAAAACACAATTTCAGAGTACTCTAGGACATCGCCTAGGAATTACATTCCACCTTTTGAAACCAACAAAAAACAAAAACTAACAAAAATAACAAAGGTGGTGAATGGTGGTTAAAAATAACAACACTTCATGGAGCTTCATGGGCTGGTGGGATCCTTCTTGGTTTTCTTGGCCTCATTAGTAGTTGATTCATCAAACAGCTCTCTCTTCACAGAGTCATTTTTGACCAACTCACCAATTCTTTTCGACTTGTTGTTGACACTCTGGGTGGAGCTTGGATCACTCGAACCAACCTAATAAAAACACAACTTAAATTAGTAACGTATACATTTTAAATATTTGGGATAACGTAAATGTGATATTAATATTACCACTTCATGAACTTTCTGACTCAAATCCTCAAGAGATGCCCACAATCCTTCGCTTTCTTAATCAATACCTTCATCTTCGACAACACTCAAGTCTTCATATTTGCTCAAAATCTTTGAATCTGTGACCAAAGATCTAACTCCAAACGCTCTTGGTCTAGTCCAGTGTTGACTCCCCTCTTCGGCTTTCAATTGAATATGGAACAACCCTCGTAGACCAAGCAACCGATTAAGTTCAGCAGGGAGGAAATTCGGGTCCATCTCTTTCTGTTGAAAATCGATTAAAATTATATTTATCAGCGATATTAATTTAGACTACCGTTATTTGTTTAAATAAATATTGATGTAAACCAACCTCGAGCATGATTTCCCTAAGTAGAAACGCACTTGCACCCAAAAGTTCAGTGCACTCCTGATCCCAGAGTATGAACGAAGCATGACCAGTCGTATCATATACTCGAACATTGACCTTGAACCTATAAATAACAGTGTTAGGTCGTGCTGATCTTTCACCTACTGCTAATTATGGGAATATATTCACTTGAAACACTCTTTAATTTAGTTTACCTGTAAACTCCGTGCGGCATGGTAATGTTACAATCCGAACACCTGAACTTATCACTATCAGGAATGACCTTTTTGTTGCATTCAGTGCACCCTAAGTAGCACCAATCACCCGAGTCATGAATCGATGCTATGTTCCCAACAACCCAGTAGGGGCCAGCCTGCACATACAACAAACATATATTTCAATAAGTGCATTGTACATTAAATGTACAATATTGACTTGTTTTATATTAGGAAGAAGTGTTCATACATGTCATTTTTTTAAAGTCACAGCTCTTAAAGTTGTAATTGTATGCAAGAAATGTTTAGGTTGTAGTGCTTTAATCTAATTATTAAATTCTGACCTTTGTGGTGTCCAATAGAGCCTTGATTGTGGTAGTCTTCACAACACCTTCTTGTTGAAACACGGGCTTGTCACGTTTTCGTACTAAAGCAGTGTTCGTTTTTGTAACAGGTTTTGATAATGCCAAACCGCCGTGATCAAGTCAAACAATGAATATACAAGGCGAAGAATGGAAAGTTAAACGAGAGCCAAAAGAGTCCAAGAACGAAGACCGAAGTCCTTAGCTTTGTTGAGTCGGTCATAATTGTAATCAAGACCGACCCAACCCTCACGCATTGGCTCTTTAGGCTAAAATCCTTCTTTACATTCCCTAAATCATAAAAATGTTTTTCAAACATGTTTAAGTCATTAAAAACACTTGGTGTTCGCCCAAACCAAAAACCAAGCCATCCGGCGTTCGGGTTTCAGAAACCGGCGTTCGGCTCCCGGTTATCGGCTAGGGTTTTTGGCGTCCGAACCAACCAAGTGGTTTTCAACTTTTTATGATTGGTTTTCACTCTTTGGCATGTTTAAACGGTTCTCCAACAAAAACACCTTGAAAACCATCTTTCGCTTTTGGTCGTTTGACAAAAATCATTCAAAACGGCATAAACTCGGCTAGCCGTGGTTTTCACTCAAATGACGTGGTTTTTAAAGTGTCTTACTTGATTTCTTAGCCAAATACATCAAATAAGTATTCTAAACACTTGGTTTTTATTTTGGAGAACTTTGAATTTTTCGGTCGGTTTTCGCATCGGTTGGCTAGGCCGTGGTTAAGGCAAAAACCATGGGTTCCTGACTAACCACCCACCCAGCGATGGGAAGATCTTCCCATCGATGGGTAAGCGGTCCCTTAGCCAAACAAATTTCCAGAACCATGCCAAACAGCGATGGGAAGTTCTACCCATCGCTGTTCAAGCCTTGGTGCAAAATTAACACAAGGCAGAACGACCTTGCCCAGCGATGGGAAACCTGTCCCATCGATGGGAACCCAGCGATGGTAAGGGTATACCATCGATGGGAAGGCATGACCGTTGGTGGTCATTAAAGGTTGATTCTTTCCTTGTTTGGAAGTCAACCTCCCACCCAGCGATGGGAAGCTTGTACCCATCGATGGGTAGGCGACCGTTGACTTCAAAACTGAAGGAAAATTGGCTTACCAGCGATGGTTGAGTCTAAACATCGATGGGAAGCCAATATTCTGCAGATCCCAAATTTTTTCAATCCCATAAATCAAGCTAATCACCCCTTTAATGTATTGGT